TAGGTTGGTAGGTAGGTAGGTAGGTGGGTAGGTGGGTGGTAGGTAGGTAGGTAGGTAGGTAGGTATGCAGGTAGGCAGGTAGGTAGGTAGGTAGATAGGTAGGCAGGTAGGTAGGTAGGTTGGCAGGTAGGTAGACAGATCGATGGATAGATAGAGGGATCGACAGATAGACTCGATCAGATACGAGTAAGGCTAATTAGGTTAGGTTAGGCTGGGTTAGATTAAGTTAGATTAAGATTATCAGGTTATGTAAGCTTAAGATTAGATTCGGCTCGACTTTCCGTAGAAGAGATTCAGTAAACTAGACTATAAGGCTAGATTAGACAGCACGTAGACATAGACAAGATAGACAGATAGGTAGGCAGGTAGGCAGGTAGGCAGGTAGGCAGGTAGGCAGGTAGGCAGGTAGGTAGGTAGGCAGGCAGGTAGGTAGGTAGGTGGGTGGGTGGGTGGGCAGGTAGGCAGGCAGGCAGGTAGGTAGGGAGGTAGGTAGGGAGGTAGGCAGATAGGCAGAGGTAGATGGTAGACGAACAGATAGGTCAGATAGGTAGTAGATAGGTAGGTAGACAGACAGATAGAGATATACCTATGGGTATATGTATATGTACAAATCTTGCCGTACATACTCTGGTTTCTGCCTCTGTACATCATGCGGGTCGAGTCCTATGCTGCAGAGGCCTCCAGTCGAAATGCGGGAGCGCCAAACCATGCCATCTAACAAGGTCGGCAACAAGGTTGGAGCATCGACACCTGGTGACTCAGGAGTAACGCGGATCTCTGGACAAGGGCGTCGGAAGTGATCCGTTTCTCCATGGCATGGCTACTAAGATGCCCTTCCCAGCTGTTCATAGGCTCAAATCCAGAATGCTGGAGCATGCCACTGTAATGCCGGAAACAGGAAGCTATGGTCTCCTACATCCTAAACCCTAAACTCTGAAGTATAGGCAGTTCAGGCACATAAACGATGAATGACTTCCGGATGCCGCTCGAACAACGCATTGCATCCGTAGTAGTAGTTATCACGATCGGCCCGAATCGTCAGGAGGTCCTCCAGCATAGCCTCCGTTCATGACACGACAAGGATGAGACTAAAGGTTTAGGGTCTGGGATATCTAGCTTCAGTCCATGAGGCATAACTGTTTAACCGTAATGGCATCCAAGTGCGTTGCCACAACTAGTTGAATTGCGGAGCAGACTGATGTTCATGTGTCGCATCTGCAATTTCAGCGATCTCAAATCTGAAGTGCTAATGCCCTCGCCTTGGCACAGTTCAGACTGCCACTCTCGATCGACCAGTACCTCGGGTGCTCAGCCAGCGTTGCATCGAATGTCATGTAGATGATGCATCAGTGCTCGTGAGGCGGCACGCATCTGCGACCACGTTGTACATTCACCGGCCCTCAATGCCCTTCAGATGATTCGGAGCCAAACAGTGTAAAGGCCCAGGGACAGCGGCGAGATTGACTGAGTTCCGACCTCGCAGGTGCTGCAGGTAGATGCCACATTCGGGAGGCGGATTGCCCAAAAATCTAGCAAACTTGCATGCCCAAAACCCTCAAGCTTCAAAACAGCAGGCAGAGACATGGGCCATGAACATGCGAATGACATCATGGCTTTCTCATCCGGATGCGGTAACGGCTCGCAAAAGCTCAAGCTTCTATGAAAATTGGAACCGTGAGCCCTTGCAGCCTTCGATAAGAAACTTGAAGTTCGAAATCCAACTCAACCCTGTCGAAAAACAGCTTCATCATAATGCCCAGCGCTATCCTCATCACTTTCATCCCCGTCAACTGATGACGATCATCTCTGCTGCTACTAGAACTGCTGTTTTGCCTCTGCTACAAGGCTCGACAGGCCAAAGTCTCGACACCTGAAGCACCCTGTCTGCAATCGGAGAGCGGTGATGTTGAGCAGGTCCATTGAACGACGCCCACGTGGCGCCACCGACACGGCTTTGCGCAAGGACTGCACAGCTTCAGTTTGCACAGCTTGGGGGAAATCAGAGATTGCGACTCGGGTTTCCAGTAGGTCTTGACAAGGATGCACACTGGGCTCCCTTGCCAAAATAATAGGGTTTAGGGTTTAGGGTTTAGGGGAAATCCCTTTTAGGGAGCCTGGTTTTCTGTCAGAGGGGAGGCTTGCGTCCTTCAACGGCTTTGCAGCTGTGGGGTTGGTCGCTCCCGTTTCTTTCACGCTTGGCACGCAAAAAGCTGTGCGGGACCAGCACATTTCCCCAAAACGGGGCTTAGGAATTACAGGGTTTAGAATTTGTTGGTGTTAGCATTCAGAGTCTAGGTTTCTTGGAATATAGGTGTTGTTGTCCAAGCTTACCTGAAAGCTTAGGATTTAGGGTGTAAGGTTGAGGTTTTGTTCTGCATACCACACGCGGGCTCTTGGTAGTCCAACCCTACAAACCCGTATAAGACCCTGGCTTCCAAAAAAGAACATACGACAGAAAACCCGAGAAGGCCATGGAAAACTTTCAAAGCCCATCCAAGCAAAGCTGAAAAAAACAAACAAGCACCCTAGATCCTTCGTTCGGGCTGTCCTGCCAGGTTTATAACCGGTTTAGGGTTTAGGGTTTTTGGTGTAAGGTTCGGTTGACAGGGTGAAGGTGTTTCGCTTGAGCTTGAGAGCTGGGGCTTTATAGTTGATGGAGCTTCTGGCTTAGAACAAAACCCTAAACCCCTAAACCCTAAACCCTAAACCCTAGGGCCCCGGAAGCCCTGAACTTAACGACTGGAGTCTGACGTGAGGTTGAACACCACTGCCCCCACAGTTAAACCCCCAAGCCCTAAAAAACCTAGAGCCCTAAACCCCTAG